GTGTGTTCTATCAAGGTGTCTCAGTGTGTGTTCTATCAAGGTGTCTCAGTGTGTGTTCTATCAAGGTGTCTCAGTGTGTGTTCTATCAAGGTGTCTCGTTGTGTGTTCTTTCAAGGTGTCTCAGTGTGTCCTATCAAAGTGTCTCAGTGTGTCCTATCAAGGTGTCTCAGTGTGTGTTCTATCAAGGTGTCTCAGTGTGTGTTCTATCAAGGTGTCTCACTGTGTGTTCTATCAAGGTGTCTCAGTGTGTGTTCTATCAAGGTGTCTCAGTGTGTGTTCTATCAAGGTGTCTCAGTGTGTGTTCTATCAAGGTGTCTCGTTGTGTGTTCTATCAAGGTGTCTCAGTGTGTTCTATCAAGGTGTCTCAGTGTGTGTTCTATCAAGGTGTCTCAGTGTGTGTTCTATCAAGGTGTCTCAGTGTGTGTTCTATCAAGGTGTCTCAGTGTGTGTTCTATCAAGGTGTCTCAGTGTGTGTCCTATCAAGGTGTCTCAGTGTGTCCTATCAAGGTGTCTCAGTGTGTGTTCTATCAAGGTGTCTCAGTGTGTGTTCTATCAAGGTGTCTCAGTGTGTGTTCTATCAAGGTGTCTCAGTGTGTGTTCTATCAAGGTGTCTCAGTGTGTGTTCTATCAAGGTGTCTCAATGTGTTCTATCAAGGTGTCTCAGTGTGTCCTATCAAGGTGTCTCAGTGTGTGTTCTATCAAGGTGTCTCATCGTGTGTGTTCTATCAAGGTGTCTCAATGTGTTCTATCAAGGTGTCTCAGTGTGTCCTATCAAGGTGTCTCAGTGTGTGTTCTATCAAGGTGTCTCAGTGTGTCCTATCAAGGTGTCTCAGTGTGTGTTCTATCAAGGTGTCTCAGTGTGTGTTCTATCAAGGTGTCTCAGTGTGTCCTATCAAGGTGTCTCAGTGTGTGTTCTATCAAGGTGTCTCAGTGTGTGTCCTATCAAGGTGTCTCAGTGTGTGTTCTATCAAGGTGTCTCAGTGTGTGTTCTATCAAGGTGTCTCAGTGTGTGTCCTATCAAGGTGTCTCAGTGTGTGTTCTATCAAGGTGTCTCGTTGTGTGTTCTTTCAAGGTGTCTCAGTGTGTGTTCTATCAAGGTGTCTCGTTGTGTGTTCTATCAAGGTGTCTCAGTGTGTGTTCTATCAAGGTGTCTCGTTGTGTGTTCTATCAAGGTGTCTCAGTGTGTGTTCTATCAAGGTGTCTCAGTGTGTGTCCTATCAAGGTGTCTCAGTGTGTGTTCTATCAAGGTGTCTCAGTGTGTGTCCTATCAAGGTGTCTCAGTGTGTGTTCTATCAAGGTGTCTCAGTGTGTCCTATCAAGGTGTCTCAGTGTGTGTCCTATCAAGGTGTCTCAGTGTGTGTTCTATCAAGGTGTCTCAACGTGTTACAGAGCATCTCCTTCCTTCATGCGTCGCTCGTCCTTAAATCAGACCCGTTTACAGATCAGTCTTTCTTTCACGCTCCCACCAAAGCACCTCTGCCTGAACTATGACACGTTGTTTCACAGCATGAACGTCCTCTGGTGTGTCCCGTCCACCAAGCATCCCATAATATGAGGGACCTGCAGAGACAGAGACTTTGAAGGCTCTGAGCATGTGAAGAGGAGGAGGAACAAAGGAGGAGGGTTTTATTGAAGCTTCTGTTGAAACTCAACAGGACGCTTTAAAACCAGAGGTCACGACCTTCAAAATAAGAGTTTACTGCTGATCGGAGACAAAGAGACCATTAGGGCTTCAGAGGAGCACAGGAAGGCGTCGACCAATCAGAATCGAGTTCTCCAACATCCTTTGAGTCTCACTTTCTGTCTCCACTGAACGAGAGGCTTCACGTGGTTCACCTTAAAGTGAAAGACACGTCTCTCTTATTAAATAACGTGTTTTAAACTGAAATTAAACTCTTGTTGACTCTCAGCTTTATGCTAAGCATGCATTCAATGTTAAACACAGGTCTCCTGATAAAACACAGAGGCTCCTGAACGCACCATCAGACCTGCAGAGGCTCATTTCAACTAAAACCACACTTTATAGAATAAACACGATTACTGTTTCATTTGGCTCACATTTTAGCCACTGTAACAAGAAGTTGATTTCACTCTTATTATGGGATGTTTGGTGGAAGAAAAGCATGCAGAAGAAACCAGAGGACTTTCATGTTGTTATAGAACATTTAAAAGTTGTCATTTAATGGTTTATTATGTCTTAAAACGACAGAATTGTAAAGGAAAACTGGATTAGAGACGTTGCATTAATTAATGTAAACTTTATAAATACAGTTTGCAGGTGTAATTACTAGAATAAAACACGTGCATTAATACTTTTATAGAATAAACAGGATGCCTGCTTTAACTCGGCTCACATTTCACACACAACAACAAAGAATAGAAGTTGATATAAGACTTTAAATGGCAGGAATTTGCTCCATTAGATATGATGCGAATTGAGATCATATTGAAGCGCTGTTTAAAATCCGTACATTTAACGTTATATTCTAATTTCAGTAATAAAAACGGGTTATTACACATGTATTAATACTTTCATACAATAAACATGATGTCTGCTTTAATTCGGCTCACTTTTTATTCACCAATAAAGGATTTTTTCATATTAGATTTAACTTTTTAGATCCGGGTAAAGGATGGGCTAAGAGCAACCTGCTCTATGGAGGGACGTTCTGGGACACCTCAAACTGGAGCACAGAAATTCCGATTTCCCACATATTATGGGATGTTTGGAAGAAGAAAAGTTAGCCGAATACACCAAAGGAGGTTATTATAACTGACAACATGTAAACATAATCATATAAAATAACATGCATTAACCTGGAGGAGCAAAATGTAAAAAAAGCACTTTTCTTAATGGAGTATGGTTAAAGTCTCAATTGACGAATCGTGTTTCCTTGCATAATCACAGGGCATGGAGCCAAACTGCATTCATGTCTCCCTTATTTAAAGAATTTAAACACTTACAGGGGAAGGTTCAGGTTCTCGGGGTGTTCGCTGCTCCTCAGGCCGGGTCAGAGTGTCGCTCCTCCGGCAGAGAAGCATCTGAGGAGGCGGTCCTCACACAGACAGCCTGCAGTTTCTCTGGTTCTCCACCAGAGGGCGCCATTACTCCTCCAACACGCTTCTGAAGGAGGACTCCACTTAAAGACACATGTTATAGTTGGGAAATAATAAATAAGATATAAACATTAAAATATGAATATATACTTTTTTATAAATTATAAAAATTATGCAAAAAATGATATTAAAGATAATCTAATTTTAACTCCTAACTGACTTCCCAAAAAGTGAAGAAGATAGAGTTTATAAGAAATACAAACTTAAAAGACACATGTAATAATGGGGTTATGATAAATACAATCTAAACAATACAAATCATTTAAAAATGAATATGTAATACAAATTAAATATAGCTTAAATTCTTAACAAATGATAAGATAATAAAATAAAAAATATTTATTAATACATGTATTCATTATTGTATTGATGTATTCCTATATGTTCTAATACATGTATTAATTCCTGTATGTATTTGCTCTCCTGTGATGTTCTGTCTGCAGGGCTGTAATACCTCGCTGATCCACACTCCACTCCGGAAGGCGGCGGTGTTTTACCTGAAAGCTGTTTGCCAACCGTAATCAAAACAACAGAAGAAGAAGAAGAAGAAGAAGAAGAAGCAGCAGCTGTAAACAGAGTTAGCTGTTAGCTCAATTTTAGCTCATTCTTTTGCCTTTATTTCAGTATTTAGCAGTAACCAGGAGGCGCGAGACCAACAGAGAGGAATGGGTAAGTAAGGAAGAAGTCTATTCATCATATTCATGAACTTTAATCAGCATTTAAAACATTTGTGGGGCTTTTAGAAAGGTTAGCCACCTAGCTCAACCGATGCTAACGAGACTCAGTGTGTAAAACTAACATTCATAAACTAAATTGAGCTTTAGAAGTGGTGTGTAATTAATATAACACATCTAAACATCTCTTGTAAAGCAGGAGTGCTTACTCTTTAACTCGGTGTATGTATAATATATTATTTCTGTTGATTCAGTTCAGAAACTTAAGAGATTGACTTTAATTCTCTCAGGAATAAACAAGAAGTTCAGAGTAAATGATGGAAGAAATACAGTTTGTTGCCGTTATTTCCCCCGAAATGTGCTCCAAGTTCTCCGGAAACTAGAAAGAAATCCATTAAAAAAACAAACAAGACAAAGTAAAATAAATCACCTGTCCCCCCCCAGCCTCTCCACCCCCCCTCTCCTCGCTGCGCCTCCTGCTCCCCCCCCTCCGCCTGATGACGGCCTCCATGTGGCAGGTCGCCCGGCAACAGAGCGTGAAGCATTATGGGATGCTAGAGGACTTTGTTTCCATGGTGACCGAGGCGGTCCCTCAGCTGCTGACGGACAGGCAGAGGAGGCTGCTGCTGCTGGCTCTCAGGGCGAAGGTATTTGAATATATACTAAATATATATATATACATCTATTAATCCCCGTTAACCGCCTGTCCTCCTCCAGGTGACCCTCGTCGACCCTCAGGTGACCCTCGGCGACCCGCAGGTGACCCTCACTCACCTGGAGGAACTCCGCTCCGAGAACACGGTCAGTTGTAACCTGACACGGCGCCGCTCACAGGACACTCAGAGTTCTCTCTCTCCAGAAATGTAGAAGAAATTCCTAAATAACTTCCAAAGAGATGTTCCTTAAAGTCTCTCAAATTTCCAAATGGCTTATTTAATTATTTTAGATAACAACCAAACGATTAAAAATGAGTTAGTGTACATGTGACCTGCATGCAGTGCATTCTGGTAAATGTAGTCACAGTGTGTGAGCTGACTGTGTAATCCGTCTCTCAGATGGATGACGATACGTCCTCTCTGCAGTCTCTCCTCGCGCAGAGTCCTGACGACAGACAGCGCCTCCTGCAGGTCAGCGCTAAAACTACAACAACACTAAAAACTACAACTTTAACAGGTTTAACACTCTTCTTCGTTGGTGTTGCAGGAAGTGTTCGACCACAGCTTTGACTCCGCCCTCCAGGAGCTCATCTCTGACTTCCTGTCCCGGACGGAACAGCTGTTTCCTGTTCCCGACTTCAAACAGGTAAATATAACACCTGTGATCACCTGACGAACCAGTTCCCAGAATGCACCGGGGGATGTAAACAGGAAGTGTTGTTTCAGACGGCCTGCTGGCTCTCTGCTGCCCCCGGAGCTTTTGAGGAGTGTCTGCAGGAGGGGGAGCACCTGAAGGAGCTGCTGACCAATCAGAGCTGTCGGCTGGGGAAAGCCTCCACCACAGGTAAAAACACACCTTTCATTAATTCACTGTTTATGATTATATTATATTTAATGTTGTCTTTCTCTCCCAGTGAGCCAGGACACGGAGAACGTTCTCCTCACAGCCTGGTCCCATCCCCTCCTCAACAAACCGGCCAATCAGGAGCCTCTTCCCGCCAACAGCCAATCAGAAGAACTCCCAGATGTCCAATCAGATCCTCTCCCTGACGTCCAATCAGATCCTCTCCCTGACGTCCAATCAGATCCTCTCCCTGACGTCCAATCAGAGCCTCTCCCTGACGTCCAATCAGAGCCTCTCCCTGACGTCCAATCAGAGCCTCTCTCTCAGGTGAAGGTGGAGGTGCTGGTGCTGACGGAGGGTCAGGAGGAGACTGTGATTGGTCAGAGCGAGGAGCAGGAGGCGTCCAATCAGAGCGCAGCAGGGGGCGGGGACTCATGGGATGTCACACCTGTGATCGTGGAGGTGCACAGGTGAGACGCGGATTATGACATCATCACATTTCAATCTGTCTGAATCCATCATCGATGTTTCTGCTTCCTGTCAGGCTGAAGGAGTCACCTGAAGACTCTGCCGACCAATCAGAGGACACAGGTGAGACACACACACACAGACACACACACACATTCTCTGACAGACAGCCTCCAACCTCGCCTCCTCTCCACAGGGGACCAATCAGATCAGAGCCCTGAGACCCCTCCCCCCCGTGTGTACAGAGCGTCTCCCGCTCAGCGCGTCGCTCACAAGTGTCCTCGCTGTGGGAAGTGCTTCATCTACAGATCTCAGGTCAGATATCACCTCCACATGTCAACAACAATAACAACAACAAAGAACAATAACAACAACACAGAACTGAGGTTACCTACTGTAACCCCAGCTTCTATGAGTAAATGGCGCAGTCCTCTAAGGCTATCGCTATTGGGTAATCCCCCTGCGTCCCCGCGCAGCACTGAAACACTTGTAGTCCACGCCCACCCGCACGGTGGGCCCCCCCCTCGGGCTCCTTCCGGTATAAATAGGAAGGAGGCCCGACAATCTGCTCCCTCTTTTCTTCAGCTATTCGTGGAGCCAGTGGGGCCCAGCGCTTAGAGGGCCAATACTCATAGAAGCTGGGGTTACAGAAGGTAACCTCAGTTCTCTCTCGTATATGGCTTCGCCCTCTAAGGCTATCGCTGTTGGGTTAAGGGCGAAGCATGATGTAGTCTGCGCCCCACTGGGTCCGCCCGGCACTAGAAGCACAGACACACCTGCTCAATAACACCCCATGCCTGATGCGCCATGCGTAATGGAGCATCACCGTCCCTGGAATATAACATAACATGAATATTCTCCATGAGGGACGAAGGCTGGGAACAATACATACCTGCCGCTGAGAGAAGTAGAGACGAAGGTCATACTTTGCCCAGCGACAAAAGAGGGGGAACAGCAGCTGCCAGACAGGAGAGCACAGCTGGATCCCTGACGTCTCTCACTCTGACAGGACACTCCGTACAGGGTGTGTCAGAGAGGAATGGGAGACATCCCTTAAATACGATTGAATACATGAACAGGGGGAAGACCAAGATGCAGCAGTGCAAATGTCTTCCACTGACGTTCCTCCGTGCAAGCCGTGGAGGAGGACATTCCTCTGGTGGAGAGCGCTCTGATGTTCCTATCAAGGTGTCTCAACATGTGTTCTATCAAGGTGTCTCAGTGTGTGTTCTATCAAGGTGTCTCAGTGTGTGTT